ATTTATATATATAAATTGTTTTACAGACTAAATCAAATTCAACTCGGCAATTCTTCATCTCACTCTTACCGGGACTAAACTTTGCCGCTTAGCCAAACGCTTGGAACTCTAGCAATGGTCATGGATGCGACTCAATCGCAACAGCCTTCGCCGCAATCGGTGGGACGCGAATTCGTGCGTCAGTATTACACGCTGTTGAACAAGGCGCCCAATCATTTGCATCGCTTTTACAACAATAACTCGTCTTTTATTCACGGTGAATCGACATTGGTTGTGGGCCAGCGCGAGATACACAATCGCATACAGCAATTGAATTTCAACGATTGTCATGCCAAGATCAGTCAGGTGGATGCCCAGGCCACGCTCGGCAACGGCGTTGTCGTCCAGGTCACTGGCGAGCTGTCCAACGATGGCCAGCCGATGCGTCGCTTCACCCAGACATTTGTCCTTGCAGCCCAATCGCCGAAGAAGTACTATGTGCACAATGACATCTTTCGCTACCAGGATCTGTACATCGAGGATGAGCCGGATGGCGAATCGCGTTCCGAAAACGACGAGGATCATGACGTTCAGGGCCAAGGGGTTGACCAGGCCGTCCAGGTTGTAGGCGAGGCCGCTCAACAGCCACAGCAGCTGTCCACTCAAGTGGTATTGCCACAGCCGGTCGTTCCCGTTGCTGCCGCTGGCGGAGCTGCTGGAGCGCCGCAGCAATTGTTTTATTCACTGCCAGCGGGCGCTGCTACTGGACGACCTGTGGCCGTTTTACCAGCTGCACCCCAAGCTGCAGCGGTGCCGTTGCCCGCGCAGTTCACGAACCCGCCGCCGCCAATCCAGAATGGAGTTGTGCCACATGACGAGTTGCCACAGCAGCAAGGACCACCACAGGCCTTGGTTCAGGCCAATGTCTCGCCTCTGGTGCAGCAGCAGCCGAGTGGACCCGTGATGCCGTCCAATGTGGGTATTGTGCAACCAGTGCCAGTGCAACCAGCTGCAGCCTTCCAGCATTCGCCGCTTGTCTCAGCACCACCTCAGCTAATACCCCAGCAGCATCAGACCCAGCAGCAGCAGCAGCAACCTCCGCAGACTCTGCAGCAGCCGTTAGAGCCAGAGGAGCCAATCAACAATGACGCCAAGGTGAGCCACTTGCAGAGGGCAACTACTCCAGTGGAGGACTTCAAGACCATTCATGAACAGCAGCAGCAGGAGAAGTACGAAGCCGCYAAGCAGCAGCAGAACGAGCCCAAGACTTATGCCAATCTGTTCAAGTCCACTTCATCGTCGCCCAGTGGCTTCGTAAATGCAGCACTGCAGCAACAACAGCAGTTGCAGCAACAACAACAGCAGCAGCAACAGACTCAGAGCACTGTCTACACAACGTCTTCATCTGGCGGCGGCAGTGGCGGCCAGGCCAGCTACTCAACAACTGCATCTTCCTCTTACAACAACACCAACAACAATTCTCGCTTAGACAACGGCGGTCCACTGCCACAGCGCAACAATTTGATTAGAAACAAGGGTAAGTCACACTCCAAGGAGTGAAAAACATTTGCTTACATTTTATTCTTATCCTCTACAGAATTTGAGCAACGTCGTCCGAGCAACGCACAACAGTTTGGCGATAATCAGCAGCTCTTTTTGGGCAATATTCCACATCATGCCTCCGAAGAGGAGCTGCGTCAGCTCTTCTCTCGCTTCGGCAATGTTATTGACTTGCGTATTCTATCGAAGGTCGGCAAGATGATGCCGGGCACGCGCAGTCCACTAAACTATGGATTTATCACCTACGATGACTCCGAGGCGGTACAAAAGTGCCTGGCCAATTGCGTATGTAGCTAGAGAATTTCATATAGCCTGGTGATATCTCTAATCATCTCTTACTTACATTTGCAGCCCCTGTACTTCCCGGAAAACTCGCCCGAGGGCCAGAAACTGAACGTGGAGGAGAAGAAACCACGCATGCGCAATGACATGCCACCCCGTCAACCGATTGGCGGCAACAATGTGAATAATATGGGTCGTAACAATATGCGTGCCGGTGGCGGCAACAACGGACCACGCATGGGCGGCAATAATGGTGCTAGCTTTGGACAGCGCAATGACAATCGCAGCGGCGGTGGCAATCAGTCCAACGGACCGCTGCGCGGTGCCGGCAATGGACAAACCGGTAGCGGCGGTGGCGGCAATTATGGACGCCGTTAAAATGCAGAGTAAAATCTGCACTAGTTGGCCACAGGCACTCGATGGCCGACACATCAAAACTATACCAACAACAACAGCAACAACAACAACCCAACGTCAGCATCGATTTCTTCCATAATGCAAACAAT